TCAGTGTAATTTGCAGACGGAAAGAAGCACACAAGTTATACTTAGTATCACACAGAATCATCTCTCCAGTCATATGATCATCAATCAATGACAGACGTAATGTCTTGTCTAAAGAAATTACTTAACAAGCTTTTTAACATTGACGTAATACAGCAGTCGAATTTTAGTGTTAACGCCACACAAACTATACCAACCAATACAGTAATAACAACGTATGTATACTATGATGTACTGAGAACATCCGACTAGTGGTATTGACTGCGTGTGTGCTCACGTGTGGGTGTGCGTGTAAGTGTGTGTGTTTGTGTGTATGCACGATTCCATGAGTGAATATTGAACTAATCACTTACGTTGATTTACATTCTTATTTTGGAGGGAAATGACTAATTCATCGATATGTATGACGTGATTCTCGAGGAAGTTGTAGGGAGATTACACGTAAATAGCACAAATCTGTAGGTGTACTTTGAGCAGTGTTTGTATGTGTGTGCGTGTATACACATAGATAGACACACGTATATATGTGAATATAGAAGTGCGTGTAGTTGACTCTAGTAGTATGCTTTACTCAAGTTCCTCATAAACACAAGTGCTATCGAAACTCTGATTGGTTTCGTGTTTTGTTGAAGTAGTTCAACAGTCAGCCAGTCACCTTTGAGTCCACACTGGTCACGTATAAGCATAATTTTATGCTTTCTTATTAATTGAAGGTTTAGTATAGTAGTAATAGTAGTACTGTAACGACAGAAGACAAGGGTCAGACAACAGATCGTTTGTTGAGAGAATCAAGAGATATGTATAGATTTTTATCTACATTATTATCAGCGTAGAAACAACGTCTTCTGATTGGTTGTTTTCTTGGTGAAGGTTATTGTGTACTGCTTATGACCGTTTCTTAGAAAGTTAAGTCATATATCTGCGAATCGTATTTGCACACGTTGAGTCTGTTGTGATTGGTTGATGAGTTCCTAAAGGTTAAGCTTTGTTATGACTGGCTTAAATTTTCGCCTTGCAGTCAGCTCTCATCACACTACTACTATTTTGAGTTTTTTCTTACCTTTATACCTGATCTTGACTAGCCATTGTGTATCACTGAAATGTTTGAAAATGTTGTTTTTGCTTTCACCATGTTAAACACCCGTGTGAAAGTGTGTTCAATGCAATTCTAGGAGTGATGATGAATTGATCTTTTGTGTTTATAGACTATATTGGAATATATCAGTGATATGTCTCGAAATCTTTAGTTTGACGTTTTGGTTGTGTGCCAACTTAAAATAATGCATATCAGAACAAAGTTCTAGATTTCATAATGTAACCAGTCAGTCCTAAAAATTCCTCAGGTCTGATTATAATTTCAAACGATTGCACTTTTTTCTTATGATATTTACTACTTTCAAGTGCAGAATTGTAAGTAGTTGATCGATTTCAAGGTGGGTTTCGTGACGAACTGACACCATTAAGGGATACTTTGGAAAGTCGGGAGTACTTGAGAGTGCTTGTTTCATCCTTGTTTTGGAGAGCTTGGCAATTCGCAGCCTGTGACATACTGGTAACGTGTTCGCCTCGTCGTAACACAGAGGTCCTTATTTCAATCCCTTTTGGAGTAAAGGTGATGGAATATTTATCCAGTGTTCTCTCTCGTTTTTCAGTGGTTCATTACTTGATGTCGGATCCTAGTGAAATATATTCTTATTTCATACAATGCTAGCGAACGCTGAACTTAGATGCATAAAAAATGTCACAAAAATGGTTAGTCTGCAAAGTGATATACATTAACCTGTTAGAAACTATGGATCATATGTTATGAGTTTTATCTTAGCTGCTCGAAGCGGTGAGCTAATTATAAGTTAAGTGTAAATCTTTTTGATGTAGTTATGTTCTCTGATCTAGATGGATAGTTAGTTTGAGAAGCTTTCATTGCCCTACTTACTAGGGAACATCCTCAGGGAATACTTTAATTTTTTGAAATTAGCTTTTAGATTTCTCCACGAGTTTATTAGTCATCTCTCCTGTCGGGTGACACCCGACAGTGACTGGTTGATTTGAGTGTTTTCACACCCTCTAGGCTACTTGTTTTCGTATTCGTGCTGATTGCTTCCTTGACTTGAACTTTCACCCTTCGTGTGTGTGTGAGATTTCCTTCTTATCGATTGATGAGTTTTATCTATCACGATGTGTCTATCGATTGACGACGATCCACTGGAATACCAGGTGGGCTTCTAAATATTCTGGTGTTTCCTCTGTCTCATATTTGAACGTTGGTTGTCCCAGTTGAATTGATGTCCGTAGTTGTCTGTCTGGAGTGAAGCGATATGAGCGAGGGAGTGGATATCATGTCTTTGGACGGCCGGCCAGTTTATGATCATGGATACGATGACGGAGAGGACGTCGTCCACTTTGGCCAATGAATGTTTTATTATTTATTTATTTTGTATATGATGTTGATTTCATCTTCATTCGTTGTTGAGTCTTTTTGTTGACACAGGAGTGACTGGCTGGCTGAGTGAAGTGATTTTGTTGGTTCGTGTGTGACATCAATTCTTAAAAGTGTTTGAAGAGTGTTTCAGTGATTTGTGAGATGTCCTTTATATGTCGTAAGGCGATTTTCTTTGTATTTTCCTTGGGGAACTTTAATTTGGCTAGCTTGGGGGTATATGTCTTTTGATGAAATTCCGTGGATATCCATTCTTTTGGAAGACGTCGTCTATGAGTAATCTTTTGTCAATTTTTCTTAAGTTGGGAGTGTTGGAATGAATCCTAGCTGGCCCTCTTGAATAGTGTTTGTATGCAATTCCTTTTTGTGTGTTATTGGATTGTTGCTGTTGTAGTTGAGTGTATGGTCTGTGTGATTTGATTTTATATAAACTTGAGTTTTTAATATTCCCCTGTGGTTGTTCGTTTTATATTAAAACGTCCAAAGATGGGATTTTGTTTTCATGGATCCCTCATTTCTTGTGATTTTGATTTGTCGTTGTAGACGTCGTTTATTAAGTTGTGAGAGTTTTATCCAACTCGTTTCTTCTGATTGCATTACAAATGTGTCGTCTACATAAAACGTATGTATAAATTTTGGGTTTGAGATAAACAAACAAATGAAAAACGCAAGACAGATACTATTTTTAAATTGAATTTTTGATTTTCCCGTCGATTGATTGGACCGAAGTGCTCGGTCTCAGGTTGACATGTCGGCTTCTTGTGCAGATGCTTCGACGATGTCTGGGGATTTGATTTGTATACAATTGGTGGATGGTGGCTAGCAGTGGAATCCAGGATGCACATTTCGTCCTATTTGGGACTCGTCAGCTGGATGTACCTGCATTTCCCAGTGAGTGATGAAGTTCCCACCGAGGCTCGAACCCAGTACCCATAGTTTCAAAGGCCAAAGCGTTATCCACTGCTAGCCACCATCCACCAATTAGATACTATTTTTATTATCTTCATTGGCAACTATCTTAATTCTCAGTAAAATGATGATATTTCGTATACTACTGAAATAATCATAGAAAAGTAGTATATATATATGTATACTCCAGTCTCACACAACTGTATCTCATCTCTAGACAGACTTCGTCACGAACCAATATTGATTCAAGAAGCTTTGAAAAGCGGGGATAACTGTTTCATGCAAGTTTGAGACTCTTCAGCAATGTAGTTACTCACACACATGACACTCCGCCAAGAAGCGAACACAGCAGCTCAAAGTTTGGGGATACCAGCCAGCTAACCATCCATTCAGGTATCGTGAGTTCTAAACTTTTTGACATAGTTTTACTGCCGCAAACTAATGCCATTATCGGGGAGTATTAGCTTCACCGTCTTGACGCCACTCTGGCTTCATTTTCTTGGTGAAGTTCAACAATAGCGTCCCAGGAGGAGTGTGAACGCTCCAATGACCTTGAAGGCATGCTAGTCGTTGACTAACGGCATCTGTAATTATCATAGGTGTGAGATATCTATCAACGCTATTCACCAACTTTAGAGCGAATTTCACCAGATCATGTTTTTAAGTACTATTTGGACAGTGTGTGTTAATAGCTCTTTAGGGTTAGGATTAGGGTTAAGGTGAGTATTGGGGTTAGGGTTAGGATCAGGGTTATAATTAGCTTTAGGGTCAGAATTACGGTTTGAAAAGGGTTATGACTAGGGTTAGGATTAAGGTTAGGGTCAGGATTAAGCTTATGGTTATCATTAGGGATAGATTTATGGTTGATGTTATTGATTTTACTTGGTTTTATTATCCATGTTTTCTTGGTAAGAAGTGGTCGACCCTCTTGCTGGAAACCGTAATAATTCAACCAAGGGCTTTTTTGGAAGACTGTAAACAGGATGAGAGAGATAAACGATTGACGAAAACAGTTCCTCTGTAGTCATCTCGGTGAATACACATGGACAGAAACTAGTCCAACTTAGCAACTGATATACTCCTCGTTATAACTGGGACGTCGGTGGTATAGCGGTTAGGATGCTCGCCGACCATGCACATGGTCCGGGGTTCGACCCGCGGCCGACGCACTCCTTTACCTCGATAAGCCAGAAATAATTCTGGTGGAGAGGAAAGGTTGGGTATGAGGCTAGCAACCTCCATCCTGTAAAATAAACACTGCTACAGAAACTTCAAGCCACTAGCTTGAAGCCCTATGTTCCACTGGGGAACGTGAAGGAAAAAACAACATAACTGGGACGTATTTTTAAGCCATGTCAAAGAAAGATAACCTGTTTAATGCGTTTTCAAGCATTTTCTTGTCAATGTATACATCATTTTTTGAGCAAACAACATTCCTCATTTTTTATGATTGGTCAGTTGAAGGTCACTACGCGTACGCGTTCACACTCCTGGGGCGCTATTGTTGAACTTTGCCATTTCTTTTTATTGTGTTAGTTAAAAATGTAGTTAGAGTATTGCCTTCTTGTTAAAAAAAACAAACCTTTTTACCACTAAGCAGTAGTATCTTGCTACCTTTCTAATATTTTTTTTCTGCTTTTTTTCATTCCATCATTAGATTCCTTGTTGTTTCATGTGCCCAGCGAAAATATTTCATGGACTGTCGCAGTATTTCTATGCCTGCTGGATAATTTATCGTTTTATGTCACGGGACATCAGCCTACACTGGCCAGTATTCCATGGGATGGTGCCTATGCGATATACGAAGGGGATCATAGTACACGTTGGTTGCCTGCGATCACAGTTATCCTACACTTGTACTCTGGTCCAATAATCATTGCATTCAGTCTACCAGTGTTCATTATGATTTCTTTACAAATAAAGTATTATTATTATTATTATAATCAAAGATCAAATGTATTCAATGGGGAGCATAAACTGATGTCTGGTGGCTATTATTATCGATTTGTTGATGCCTTAGATTTATTGAGTTGGCGATTTTTTGCTTGTAAATTTGTATTGGTAAGTTTTTCCCATTTGTGAGTGATTACATCTAATTAAGATATATATATATATATATATATATATATATATATATATAACTACCAAAGGAAGGAGACCTAAGTCAATGCAAAAACTGGCGCGGAATTACGCTCCTGTCCATCCCAAGCAAAATACTAAGCCGCATCATCCTGGAGAGAATCAAAAACGCCAACCTGGATGAAAAACTTCGACCGGAACAAGCTGGATTCAGGAGAAACAAGTCATGTATTGATCAAATCGCCACTCTACGAATCATCATTGAACAAAGCTTGGAATACCAGTCACCTCTCTATCTCGCTCAACTTCATCGACTTTGAAAAGGCATTTTATAGTGCGGCGTCGACCGAGAGGTGATTTGGAAACTACTTCGCTACTACCAAGGGGTACCACCGACAGTTATACATCTCATCCAACAGTTATACGACAATACTGCATGACAAGTAATCCACAACGGAAAATTTACGGAATCCTTCGAAGTGAGGACGGGAGTAAGACAAGCTGGCTGCCTACTATCGCCAATGATCTTCCTGATTGCAGTAGATTGGATAATGAGACAGACAATGGGCAATAAGGAAACAGGCATAAAATGGACTCACACAAAAAACTCGGAGGATGTGGACTTCGCCGATGATATATGTCTGATTTCTCACAAACTGGAAGATATGCAAGTGAAAAGCAACAATTTGGCGGAAGAAGCATCAAAGATATCACTTCAGATGAACATAGATAAAACAGAGGTGATGAAGATTCTTGACCAACATCAACAGCAACAACAACAACAGACAACAATCAGCCAGCATAAATGAGAGGAACCTGAAAGAAACAACCTCCTTCACCTACCTACCTGTGAAGCATCGTTTTAACTACAGGTGGACGGAATTGATAAGAATATCAAAGCAGCGAGGAGAGAGAAAGCGAGGCAAGCTTTCATTACACTCAAGTCTGTGTGGAGGTCAACAGCACTACTCAGCACCAAAAATAAGATTCTGATTTTCAACTCCCATGTGAAGTCAGTGCTACTTGTTATACGGATCAGAGATTTGGCGAGTCATAAAGAGCACCTCAAACTACAGACCTTCATTAACAGTTGTCTTCGCTCAACACTCAAGATCAGCAGCAGGGATCTCTGGCAATGAGCGAACCAACCCAGCAGGAAACGATTGTGCAACAAATAAGCAGAAAGAAATGGAGGTCGATTGGATTGGCCATCAAACCATCAAGTGACATCACTAGACAAGCCGTCCACTGGAACTCGAAAGGGAAGCGGAGAGTTAGTCGTCAGTGCGAGGTTGACATGGAGGAGGAAGTGATGTGAAGAGGAGATGAAAGCATATGGGTGGACTTGAAGCCAGGTGAAAATGTTAGCGGAGAACTGAACGGAATGGAGAAGCGCGGCTGAAGCCCTTTGTTCCTCTAGGAATAAAGGGAAATAATAATATAATAATTGTCATATATATATAATTTATATTACAACTCACTGATTAAGCCAAGTAAGCTGTTATCGTAGTGCTCTATGAATTGATGGTAGACAGTTTGAGATTATTGGCACGAGAATCGTAAACTTCTAGTTTGCATGCTTATTAGCATTTGTCAGAGAAGTTTATCTACACTGTAGGTGGAGGTGATTCTTCCCTCCTCTCCCACTGAGATTCAAACTTATTTACACACCTTCAGCGGGGTATATGTCTTTTGATGATATCCTCAAGCTAGCCAACCAGTCGAATCAAAGGCCCTCAAGAAAAACAAAGAATATCGCCCATATACCATATATAAAAGATATCTCAGAAATCACTGCAACACTCTTCAAACACCTTTTCAGGAATTGACATCACACACAAACCAACAAAATCACTTCACTCAGCCAGCCAGCCAGCCAATGCCAGAGCGCGGGATTCAAACCTCTAGGACGCATTTTCTAACGCAACTGAATATCGACTCAATAAGCCAATGAGAGAGAGCTACTTCACATTGACTCAAACTACTTTTAGACAAATATATCTATTCATGAATAATTCCCATTCGAACATTAGTAGACAGAAGATAAGTAGTTCAGCGAAGAGTCTCTTTTCGGCGAATTCATTTTCATAGCTGCACAATCGCAAATATATATGGTTATTTTGTGTTATATATATATATATACATTAAATTTGTCAAACGAAAAAACAATTAGTAAGTTCAGATGAATTGGATGTTGATAAGAGGATAGCAACAAAAGTGATGAGTTGTCATAAATGATTGTTAAATAAGAGTTACGTAATGGCATGAATAGTTTGATGAATGAGTTGTGCTCAAAGGGTGTACATGGAAACAAAATAATATACAGAATTACACAAGGGTTTTAAGTTAGAAAAATAAGCATACAAACAGAAGTAAGGTCAAATAAAACAAACAAAGCAAAACATGAGGCAGTAACTCATCGAAGAAGACATTGCGAAGTGGTCGCGCTATGTCGTGAACTGGCAGAAGTTAGAATTCAAGAACCATTGGATCGGGTCCCAGTGGCTCAATGGTCTACGAGCTCACCTTGTAACCAGAAGGTCCTGGGTTTGAACCCCGGTGGGTGCGTACTGCTGAGGAGTCCCAAACTAGGACGAGACAGCTGTCCAGTACTCCCTAGCAGGTTTTCCAGTGGTTCTCTAACTGATGTCAGCTCATGATTAAATCCTCCATACAATCAAACCAAATCCCTACAAAACCAACACTTGAAAAAAAAACAAAGAAAAGTTAGGTCAAATCAACGGAGTTGTTACCATGCGAGTTTGTTTTATTTGACCTTACTTCTGTTTGTATGCTTATTTTTCTAACTTAAAACCCTTGTGTAATTCTGTATATTATTTTGTTTCCATGTACACCCTTTGAGCACAACTCATTCATCAAACTATTCATGCCATTACGTAACTCTTATTTAACAATCATTTATGACAACTCATCACTTTTCTTACTATCCTCTTATATGAACATCCAATTCACCTGAACTTACTCCACTTTAACAATCGTTTTTGACAACTCATCACTTTTGTTGCTATCCTCTTATCAATATCCAATTCATCTGAACTTACTAATTGTTTTACGAGTTGATCACGGATTGATATCAGTTAGAGAACCATTGAAAACCAGGGAGTACTGGACAGCTGCTGTTTCATCCTAGTTTGGGAATCATCGGCAGTACGCACCCACTGGGTTTCGAACCCAGGACCTTCCGGTTACAAGGCAAGCTCGTATACCATTCAGCCGATGATTCCCAAACTAGGATGAAACAGCAGCTGTCCAGTACTCCCTGGTTTTCAATGGTTCTCTAACTGATATCAATCCGTGATCAACTCGTAAAACATAACTAATCCTTACAAACCAAACTATAGAAACTTACTAATTGTATTTTCGTTTGACAAATTTAATGTATATATATATATATATATATATATACACACACACACAAAATAACCATATGTATTTGCGATTGTACAGCTATGAAAATGAATTCGCCGAAAAGAGACTCTTCGCTGAACTACTTATCTTCTGTCTACAAATATATCTATCTCTCAAGAGTTTAGTTTGTAAGGAATAGATTTTTTTTTATACGAGTTTGACCACGGATTGATATCAGTTAGAGAACTATTGAAAACCAGCCACTGGACGTACTGGACAGGATAGCCAGCTATTTCATTTTACTTTTATGGGAATCATCGGCAGTACTATTCACCCACTGATTTCAATGCTCGCTAGTGACTTGCTGCAGGACAGAGTTTCCTGGAGTTCCAGTAAGAAGTCGTGACCAGTGAGGTCCATCCAGACGTCACGTGTAAGGATGGAGTTCTCGCCGATGACATTGGTTAGTAGTCGCATCAAAAATCACGAGTTGATAGAAGTTAGAATTCATTGACTGGTCACTGAGGCGTTGGGTCTCAGTGTCTGAATATTCTATGAGCTCGCTAGCCTTGTGACCGGGAAGCTTCTGGGTTCGAACCCTGGCTGGGTGGGTGCGTACTTCCGATGATTCGCAAACTAAGATGAAACAGTTGGTTCTCTCACTGATATCAATCCGTGGGCAAACTCAAATAAATATATATACATAACATAACATAAGCTTTATTCCAAATCAGTACTTGTGATACAGAATGGAATTCTCAGCATTTTACTACAATATTGCATCCAGTTTTTACATTAACAATAAATAAAGTTCTACATAGATTAAAGTTATCTCAACAACATATTAGTATGTCGGTAGCAAAGCCAAAATTAAAGTGTTTGAAGGTGTTAGAAAAGTAGATACTACTAGCATATTTACTGGCGTAAGCGATAGCAAAATGGTCGAGATATACAGAGTGTGAAAGAACGAACAAGAATGTTTTAAGTAGAGTTTGCAAGGAAGAGAGAAACAAAACAGCACATAAAAAAAATAAATACAGAATGAAGAGCGAGAAAACGTTGTACCTATAAATGATGTGAGTTGGAAAGACGAGATCCATTGGTTCTACTGACTATTTAATAAGTTAAAGGTTTCATGCCTGATGCATTCTTTATCGCACAGAACACGGGCTAGGTAGGGTATGGATGAGTTTTTGTACTTACTAGTGCGGGCATATAGTTTCCTATATAGGCTTCTTGTTTTCCCTGAAGAGATACATGGGGAGAGTTGTGAATGTAGAGGGTGTTGTGAGTCAGATAAAATGGATTTCGCCCATTTTTCACATGAGTCCATGTGCCTGTCCACCAGAATATTAACAAGCTGGCTAAGTGGCAAACTGCTTACCCTGCTGACAACCTTTAACATCCTACGTAATAAGGTATAGTCTTTCTTCAATAGCCCAGGAAAGACTAAGGGGGAGCAATAGAGAATAATAGGCAGAATACGGGAGTTAACAAATTGTAGGAGTAAGGGTTGGGTTACACCAGAATGTCTTAACTTCTTGATGTAGAAGGTAAGACGGTATATTTTCTTGGAAATCGTCAAGATATGAGACGACCAGGAAAGATCAGAAGATAGAGTGACGCCTAGGTATTTAATTTCCGACTTGGTTTCTATTTCACTGCCATCTATGTTGCACACCTCGTGAGTGCTAACCAGTTTGTTTAGGTCAGATTTATGCCTAAAGGTGAAATTAACTGTTTGGCATTTGGAGGGGTTTAAGGTTAGACCGTTTTCCTTGGACCATTGGCTAATTTCTGATAAGAAGCCATTTAGTTTAGAGCAGTCACTTTGACATTTGACAGGTAAAGATACAGTTAGGTCATCAGCATATTTGACAAAGTTAATGTCATTTGAAGACGGTAGGTCATGTAGGAAGAATGAAAAGAGAAGTGGGGAGAGTACAGCACCTTGGGGGACACCAGCTTCAGTGAGCACAGCAGAGGAGGATTTGCCTTTGTATACGGTGTACTGCATTCTGTTTGAAAAGTAGGAATGCAACCAGTTAGTGACCCAGGACTCGGTTTGTGTCATGGAGAGCTTATTTAGCAAGAGACTTCTAGGTACAGAGTCGAAAGCAGAAGTAAAGTCAAGAAACGTGCAGCGGACATATTTGGCACCTTTGTCTAATGATGAGACAATACTGTTGTGTAAGACGGCTGCAGCGTCTAAAGTACTCCTACCCTGTCTGTAGGCAAATTGTTTGGGGTCTTCGAAGCTTTTAAGGGAGGGTTCGAGTTTAAGAAGTACTAGTTTTTCCATGAGCTTTAGAAACGGGGAAGTGATGGCGATGGGTCTGAACTTTACGTTCTTGCTATTTCCAGGTTTAGGGACAGGGACTATTTTAATGTCTTTCCATGGAACAGGTACAACGTTTTCGGAGAAAGAAGCATTTATATATATATATATATATATATATATATAGCATATATCTCTGTTATTGATTTATTGATCTATTTATTCCCATGTACCGATATAACTCAGATATTCCATTTTTCTTTTGTTGTTTCTTTTTTCTTTCTCTCTATGTCTGTATTGTCTGTATTATTCATTACAGACTTTAGGTTGTATGCTAAGCACTGGTATTCTACGTCGTCATTTAATGGTATGGAAAATATTTGCACCACGTTTATTATTCTCTATTCTAAGCCTGATTGTATCAACTGTATGCCTTCTGCTGACTCGATACCTAACTGTTCATTGTTTACATAAAAGGATTTGTAAAATATTACAAAATAACCTGTAGTTTGTTTGGTTCAGCGTGTATTTGTTTGATGTGATTCTGTCCTCTAAGCTTTGTAATTGTGCAGTTGTTAAGCTGTCATTATTCTTTTGTGTATATATATGTGTCTTCCCAGGGTTCTTTTTTAGGCAATATCCTCTATTTATTTCTTTATTATGTAATCTCCTGTACTGTTTCGGAGACTCCTCTGTCTCTATGTGTGTGTGTTTGTTGTTTATCTTTTTTAAAGTAAAGCGCCGAAATTCATATAATCACTTACTGGACATCATTATTTTTTTTAAAGTTTTTCTCTTTTTTTTTAGACAGTTGTTTTTCTGTTGTTGATAAAAATAATAACTTACATTTTTCTAGTGTTATAAATCCCTACGAACGGACCTTTGAATAGTAATCTTCGCTTTATCATGGGATGGGATTCTTGGAGTCCTGGGGAGAAATATCGTCACTACTAGTGAGTTCCACCAAGTTGAGTGTGAAGATAAATAATTACAGCTAACTTGGACTGATGGTGGTGTTAGGTATCAAGAATTGGCAGAGGTTATAATCTTGTTTTTAAGAGTTGATCATTGAAAACCAGGGAGTACTGGACAGCTGGTGTTTCATCCTAGTTATTTTGGGAATCATTGGAAGTACGCACCCACCTCCAGGGGTGGAACCCAGGACCTTCCAGTTACAAGTCAAGTTCGTATACGATTCAGCCACTGGGACCCGATTCAATGGTTAGTCCATGAATTCCAACTTCTACCAACGCGTGATTTAGCGCGATCCCAGACAATGTCGTCGGTGGGGCATCCATCCGCACACGTGACATCTGGATGGACCTCACTGGTTACGACTTCTCACTAGAACTTACTTCAGGAAACTCCATCCTGAGATTTATGAGCCATTGAATCGGTTCCCAGTGGCTGAATGGTATACGAGCTTGCCTGGTAACCGGAAATTCCTGGGTTCGAACCCCTTGTGGTGAGTGCGTACTTCCGATGATTGCAAAAATAACTAGGATGAAACAGCTGGCTGTTCAGTACTCCCTGTGGCTGGTTTTCAATGGTTCCGTAACTGATATCAATCTTGGATCAAATCGTAAAAACAAAACTAACCCTTACAAACCAAACTATAGAATGTTATAATCTTGTCCCAGTTGCTGAATAGACTCTCCTGGTAACCTAAAGATTGTGAGTTCAGTATCTGGTGGAGTCTCATCGTTGTATATTGTTAAAGAACTGGGCGTCTGTCTGCTGCACTGTGATTTTCAATGGTTCTTCAAATAGTGTCATTTCGTTGTCTGTCTGTCTGGATTCAACATAGAACTTGGCACCGAAGTGCAGCAGTTCGAGTTGCCACCTTCCAAATAGCACACAGAGGTAGACAAGAAGATGAGTGAAGAGAATCAATAGAGTTTGACAGGTATAAGAGTGAAACAGAATGGGTAATAGTAGAAAGGAATATGAAAGATTACAGAGACTGAATACATCTGCGCTGACCATTGACAACGATTTTGAGCCATGTCACCTATTGTCTCCAGCCATTGATTCCTAGAGTCCCGAGGGCCCCGACTCGGAGGTCTGCATCTCCCTACCTGACTCAGTTTAACTGTCAAAGATTCCATGGATTGATGCCATGTTTTTGTCTGGCCGCCACTTACCCTTTTCCAACCTGCACCTATATCAGCTATCAATGCCTGTCGGGGGTAGGCGGTGGTTAGGCATGCGCAGCACGTGACCTAGCTATCTTAGTCTATGTGACTTTATAGCCTCGTCGATTGATTTTCCCTCTCTGCCTGCCCAACACTCTACGCCTAACGTCAACATTACTTACCTTGTGAAACCACCTAACGTGAGACAGAGATCGCAGACATCTATGATCGAAAGCAGTCAACCTTTTCATGTCTTCAACGCGTATTGGCCATGTTTCAGAGCCATAGAGAAGGACGGAGCGAACTGATGAGCAGTACACACGTCCCTTGATTGATAACCGGATGTCACGCTTACACCATCTCTGGAGTGGATCAAATCTCTGCAAGCTTACACTTAAGAGTGTTTAACTTTGTTAGTTAATGTAACATGTAAACTCTAATTGGTTAATTTTGTGGGTACATGTGTTCGGTAAATTAATTACGATGCTTAAGAGTAATACGATCGAATACGATCCAGTTAAGACATAAATGTAAGCCAACTTATATAGTCTTTAACTATTGATCTAAACTGATGAGTGGTAACTTTGACTGGAAACACAAGGAGACTCGACTTTCAATATCTATGATGAAATGGTGGTGGTGGTGGTGCGTCATTTCCTTCGAGGTAGTATTAGTAGCACATTTCTCAAGGTTTAAGTAAGCGGTTAGAAGCGATTTGTGATTCATTATATTATTATTTTTATAATTGTTTCCTTTAGTACCTTGAGGAATATAGGACTTTAGCCATGCACGTCTCCATTGCGTTCAGTTTTGTGCCAATGTTTTCATCACCTGGCTCCACACATCTGCCCACTTACTTTCATCTCTTCTTCACATCACCTCCTCCTCCATGTCACCCTCGCACCGACGACAAACTCGCCGCTTCCCGTTCGGGTTCCACTCGAGCGAGGGCTTGTCTAGTGATGTCACTTGATGGTTTGTTTTCTCAGAGTATGGACAATCCAATCCAACTCCATTTCTTTCTGCTTATTTATTGCACAATCGGTTCCTGCTGGGTTGGTTCGCTCATTGCCAGAGATTCCTGTTGCTGATCTTTTCTGGCCGGCCATCTGATCTTGAGTGAAGTATAGAGCGAAGACAGCTGTTGATGTAGATCTGTGGTTTGTTCGAAGTGCTCTTCATAACGCGCCAATTCTCTGATCCGTATATAGTAAGTAGCACTGAATTCACATTGGAGTTGAAAATCCGGATCTTATTTTCATTTTCATGTTGAGTAGTGCTGTTGACCTCCATACAGACTTGAGAGAAATGAGAGCTTGCCTTGCTTTCGCGATCCTGGCTGCCTTGATATCCTCATCAGTTGTGTCCGCCTGTAGCTGAAACGATGCTTTCCACGTAGGTAGGTAGGTAGATAGGTAGGTATTTAAATGAGGTTGTTTCTTTCAGATTTCTCCTATTTATGCTGGCTGATTGTTTTCTGTTGTTGTTGTTGCTGCTGCTGTTTATGTTGGCCAAGAATCTTCATCACCTATCTCTGTTTTCTCTATTCACCTGAAGTCCTTCCTATCTTCGATGAAGCTTTTTCTGTCAACTTTTTGCTTTGTGATTCATACGCTGCTTGTAAAAACAGCCTCGAATTCAGTAATGGAAAGCCAAAAAGTCAAGACATATGTGACATATTCATGGTATAGCTTTTATATATCCTATTCATCTTCCTCTATTGCACATATATTTTCTCTCCTGAGGTTTGTTTTATTCGACTGAGGTATAACATCCAATGGTGTTATTTTTTTTTATTTTTTATTTACAGCTTGATTCCACACTGTATTTTCGGTACAAGTATGGAATTTTCAGCATGGATATCGGTAGCCCAAATTTTGCAGGCCGACCATAGATATCAGGTGTGCGTCGGTGCGGGCTCGAACCCCGGACCATGTGCATGGTCGGCGAGAGTCCTAACCACTGTGCCACCGACGAACTCTTGCGTGTGTTTAAAAATGAAAACAAAACACGTAGTTCAGCGAAGAGTCCCTTTTCGCCCACCCATTCATTTTATTAGCAGTATAATCGCCAGTATATATGTATGAGTTAATTTTGTACATTAAGTTTGTCAGATAAAAATACATTTGGTTATGGTTATTTTAACTAAACAGATGAAGACTGGTAATTGGAGTTACGTAATGCCAAAATCAGTCAAGAAAATTAGGTGTTAATGAAATGAGTAGGGTAGTAACAAAGGTGATGAGTTATGTAATAATATGAATAGTTTAATGATTGAGTTGTACTCAGAATACACATAGAAACAAAGTAGAGAATATGAAGTTACGTAAGAGTTCTAAATGAATATACAAGAATTATAAACAATTGAAGAAACAGGCAAACAAGCAAAATTAAGTTATAAAATATCAACAAAGTTGTTACGATGACAGTAGAAGTGGTTGAGTAATCCTCTTTTGTATGCACAGCTCTAGTTTTTCTATGTGTCAATGGTCAGAGCTTCAGCAATACAAAGAAGACGAAGCCATATTGCACTTGGTAGGTTATTCGTGACTCTGTAGATTACTTTGAAGCAGGAGGCGTTTGTTGAGATGGAATGATCAGTGTTAACCAGGTGTTCAATTATCGCACTCCTTATTGTACCACTATTGCCTTTTCGCAACCATGCTAGCTGGATAGTGTTCTTTAATCCTCTTGGATAGGGTGCGCGTCGAGCATCCAATGTACCTGACTTCACAGAAGCAGGCGAACTGATATATGCTTACAGAAGTTGTCAGATACGAGATCTTGTCCTTAAGGATTGTGCAGATCACTAGGCGACTGGAGAACACTATTCTTAGTGTTGCTGCAAAGAATGTTCTTCTCAGAGATTATGTGATCCTTCTCTTGAGAATATCGCTTGTCATATCTTCCTTGAAATCCAAGTTCATGTAGAGATCCTTTCTAGGCACAATTAAAGATTCGTTATATATTTCGAACAATCTGATCACACACGGACTTGTCATAGGAATATATATATAAAATTAATAAAGAGGTAAGAGGTGAGAAAAATAGACTTAGGTCAAGTTAAAAGGACATATTCAAGGTCAAAATAACAATGAAGACCACTAAACCAAATAGCAAAGGTAATAGTACATCTGCTATGGTATCAAAACAAAATTTACCAAGGAAGGTTTAATGTGATGACAAATTGTTTTTGAACGCATAAAGGTGGCTTGAACTTTCTAATTGCTAGGGCTTCTACAAACTTTAGGATACTCCCCAAACACGTTTTATAGATAGGTTTAAAAGATCTGTTAACATCAATTTTATGACCTGTCTCTATAATATATTTCGCAATAGAAGAGCTAGGTCTCCTGTTCTCACTGTTAATAGG